ACCCCACACCCACATACACACACTCCACACCCACATACACACACTCCACACCCACATACACACACTCCACACCCACACCCTTTTTCTTTCTTGTTCTGTCAACTATTAGTGGAATATTAGAACGAGACAAGTATTCTCAGCAGGATTCTATATGCTTTTATTCATTCACAAGTTCGTCTATCCATTATAGGATCTTCTCTTGGCCGTCTTGTTTCAGAAGTGTTGTAAAGATGCCAGCCAACACATTTGATCATGAGAATAGTAAATCAAAACTTAACAGTTTTTTTCAAAACGAACACACATCTTATGCTTTAGTAAACACAATCGGGATTGCAGCTCATGACTCTGTATTGGTAGAAACATCGGAACTTGATGCGGCACTGAGTAAGTCATATATGACGTGAAAATTCGTGCAATCTTTTCTTCCTTCTGTATAGCATCGGAGAAGCATCCCTTGCAACGAAGTCCATCGAACAATAGTAGTAACACGGTGATTATTTTTCTCGGTGAATCAAAGTCGGCCGTTGAAAATCTTGATGAAAATAACCAATTATCCGCCGAAAAGCAACAGCAATCTGACAGGTAATAACATTTTTGTCACTTGCAATGGAACTGTTTGTCATGTCAGTTGATTTCATTAACTATATTCGAGTCAAATTATAGCCCTCGACGAGAAACTATCCAATTAAAAATATGAGCTGCTGGTAGCGAGCCTGGATCGAGTTATTCAAATTTTAAGGTATTGATAATTTAGACGTATAAGAACAACAGAATTTTTCAAATTCAGTTTTTCTGCACTATTAACTTTTTTTTAAGCAGTATTGCCTTCTTGTCGACGTTTTCGATGACTTAGTAGTATGTGAATGAGAAAAATAAGCTTCTGTTGTTATTTACGTCGAAAGTAAAAAGAAATGGTCAAAAACAGTGAGCTTCGCACGTAAAATTGAAATTTCTAGCTCATCTACGCATGCATATTTTCTCGATAAAATCTCGATTCATGTTTGATAAAAAATAGTTAGCCATAGCTCTTCAAGCTCTTTTTGAATCTTAGAGTATCACCGTTTCGAACTTCATCTAGGTATGCTACCTCTATATTTTTAAGGGGTATCTCAACATCATACTTGTAACTTTTTAAGGCCCATCTAGGGGGTGGTCCTTACAACTTTTCAGGGGCTACCTAAGGGCATTCCCTATAACTTTTCTGGACCTATCGATGGATGATGCCTATAAATTTCAAAGGGCTATCTAAAGGTGCCCCCAATAATTTTTTAAGACCTACTCTCTAAAAAAAAGATGTCATAAGAAACCATTGAGGGTTTTAGCGAAGATCCTGAGATTTTTAGGGTTCTAGATTTGGATACCATTGTCTGAACCTTTTTAAAGTTCTAGTCAAAAAGTCCAGAACTTAAAAAGGTTTTAGCCAAAAACTGTGGAACTTTGAATAGTTCAGATTTTTTGGCTAGAACTAAAAAATGGTTCAGAAAATGATACCCGAATCCAGAATCCTAAAAAGTTTAGTATGATGCCTATTCTTTTTAGAGAGTACCAAGGTATGGTCCTTATGACTTTTCAGGACTATCTATGTATGGTTCTGATAGCGTTTTAAGACCTATTTAGAGGTATCCCCTATAACTTTTGAAGGCATGTCTGGAGATGGTCCTTATAAAGTTTGAAGCTCCACCTAGAGGTGATCCCTATAACTTTTCAAGGGTTATGTATGGAGTGATTCCTGTAACTGTTTAAGGCCTACCTGGGAATGGTCGTTAGAACTTTTGAATGGCTACGCTGCTCATACCTCTAACTGTGCATATTTTATGTGGACTTGATAATAGAGATTTTCATCATCCTTCGTATTCTTGATACGTGCAGTTAGGTCAAAATACATTGGACACTCCTTACGACTGCTTTTAAGAAGGTCTTCCGGTTTTAGTATAAATTTAGTAGAATAAGATAAGACTATTGACTAATATGAGTTGGAAGTTTTTTGACTCTTGGCAGCCGTACGTGAAACGTTGGGACCAGGGCTCCTAATGGGATGCGATGGGATGCAATTTTCATCCCGTGGGATAATACAAGTCGTCCCATCCCATCCCATGGGATTCAGCAAAAATAATTTTCATCCCATCCCATCGCATGGGCTCCCATGGGATTCACTATATTACGAAAAATCTTACTGAAAATCAAGGTTTATTTTTTTTGTAATTGGAAATTCGAAGTTTTCCAGCATTTCGATTTGAATATTGGAATAAGGGATGCACCAATTCCTAGTACATTGCAAGAAAGATGACATTGTTGCCTGATGTAGAGTGCGGCGGTCCTCTGATTCCATATATCAGCCAACACAATTTTTTTGCTCTATCTAAAAAGATAGCCGAGATTTATGAAAGATTAAAAAACGTTTTCGCATTTGACTCAGAATTTGAATTTTCAAGTCGTTTTCGGTCAAATCCAATTCAGTTTCAGACTTGCAGTTTGCATTACACAAATTCTAAGAAGGGTGGTTTCACGCTGGTCCGCCCAGATTTACATCGACCTTCTGCAGGCAATATTTAATCATGCTAGTTTTGTAGCGCGTATCGAGTTGTGTAGGAAACCATGTTTTGTTTTTCACGAAATCATGCGCTAAGTCCTACAGATAGGGCTCAAAATCCGATTTTCTAGAAACCCGATTCCCTAAACCAAGAACTTTCTGTTTTCGTGAACACGATTTGAAAAGCTTAATCAGACAATTGGATAGAGCATAAAAAGTTGTCTATATGCAATAATTTTCGGGTGAGTACATAAAAATCTCGAAGCCCCAGTGTACTTGCAAAAAGCAGAAAAATGCGATTTTTGCTAAAATCGAGTACTCTAGAAAACCTACACGTGGGCATAGAAACCATGATTTGTTAGAATCAAAATGAAGCTTAGGTAATGCTAGTTCGAAATAGTTGGATTAAATTTTCAGAATATATTCCTTAATTAAGATATTCGACTTTCAAAACCAAGGATTTCCAAAAACCTCATATTGAGCCTTCGTTTTCTCGAGAACTACATGCCTGAATTCTTCATACATGTCGAACTTGAAACTTGAATTCAACTGAAACTTCAAGTTTCAAGTTTCAACCTTTAACTTTCAACTTTCAAGTTTCAAGTTTCAACCTTCAACTTTCAACTTTCAAGGGTGTGGGTGCTGGGGAAGGGACAAACGCTTGTCTACACACACACATATGCACCTATAATGTGGGTGCTGGGGAATTGAAAGTTGAAACATGAAACTTGAAGGTTGAAAATTCAAGTTTCAAGTTCTAAACTTGAAAGTTGAAGTTTCAGTTGAATTCAAGTTTCAAGTTCGACACTACTGGAATTCTTTGAAATTTCTTTTATAAGTAGCCCTCAGTGAGTGCTACCTCTGCCAAGAATATCAGTTTCCCCATCCTAGAATTACAAAAGTTATGATATCTACAATTTCTTAAATTTCGCAATGTTAAGTCTTAAGATTTTTCGATTATGATCGTGAAAATAATCATTTTAATGATGCGTATAAGGTAAATTTTTATGCATAATTCAATTACACTCATAGTTACAGCCCGTTGATAGCAGAGATTTCTAATATATAGAAAACTAAGTGAAAAACCTACAAAAACACAGTTTTTTTGAGGACTATTGCTTCTTCTCTAGAGTTTACCTTATATTCAATCTATCGGATAACGAAACTTGGTAATAGCTGTGCATGCTGATCCAAAGATGGAATAGCGGTGCTTATGTAGGAAAATAGTTCAGTCAACATTCAGCGAAAAGCTTTTGTATCTCATCGCATAGAGGTTGTACAATTGTGTAGCTGCAGCGTGTACCAAATTTTGGATGTTAGCAAAAAAAATTATCACTTTTCAATTCAGCATTGAGTGCGTATCGTCAAACAGGAAACTGTAATGAAGTTCGGAATCGGGGTGGATGTAGTGATGACACATGTAGTTCTGTTTAGCTAGCTTCCACGCCTTGGACAATTGCTAGTCGTCAATCATCTTGGCATTAGACACGAATATAATTAATAACGTTATCATCATTCATTGTCAACAATAAAAATTTTGCTTTTCTTCAATATACACCATTACATATTCAAAAATACTGAAAAAACTGACGCACTGCTCGAAACATCTATAACCCAGGTGAACTAATCCGACATCGGATTCCATCGGATCTCTTAGGATCCAACATTCCGACAAAAACCCGACGGATTCCTGGTTGAGGAATCGCTGTCCGACCCGACGGACAAAATCAATTTTCTTAATCAGGTGTGAATAAGCATCTGATGCTATCAAAATACAAGGGTTGTATGCTAGCGTCGGTTTCCGTTGAATTCCGACACANTTCCAGGAAGCCAACGGAATTTCATCGGTTTTATTAACATTTTAATGATATCGGCTAGGATTCCCTCTGGGACCTTATCGGATCCTACTATCGAAATGATTCTTCTGGGTATGCGTACCTATGCCCTTTTACTTTTTTCTCTGTATATTAGAAAACTCTTCTATCGATTGGCTGCAATTATGAGTCTATTTGAATTCAACGTGACATTTTGCCTTATACCCATCATTAAAATGATTATTTTCACGATCATAATCGAAAAATCTTAAGACTTAACATTGCGAAATTTAAGAAATTGTAGATA